ATCCATAAAGTTGGATGCTTGAGTTGGCAAACAGAGCCAGTGAGTATTTCCTTGCAATTGATTTTAAAATCTTTCTCTTCCCTGTGTCTCTCAGCCAAAGAGTAGGATAGAAAGGGTCATTTCTAGATACCTACAAAATTACTTAAAGAGATGTAGGTGTCTAACTCACAAAAAGGGTGACACTGAAAAATGTACATCTAGGCAAAGGAATTTTTTCATTTTGTGAATAAAATAGAATTTTGGAAATCAGTTTACAGGTTGTACTTGTCCCCATTTTATGAGTGGAAAAACAAAACAATAAAAAAACCATGGGAATTTCCCACCATTCTTGGATTTGGCCACTTGTGCTCATGATTTCAAAATTGGTGTCCAGGTAACTAAGCTTAATGGTGTAATGCATCTTGCTCTGTATTATATATGTGTTGTTTGGTTGTCTCAAAATTATATTTTGCAAAATATTTTTTTCCTGCTCTATAAAAGGATTTAGTAAAGAAAATATTACTTTATTTGTTCATTCCACCAATATAGGACTTCTGCTCTTTGCCAAGTGGTGAGCTAAGTTTTCTTATCTATTAGCAAGCAGTGTACAATTTGAGGCAATAATTTTTAGAAACTTCTATAAAAGTATATTTCAAAACCTATGAATATGGTAAAAGGAAGAGTATTTTCTTTGCTTTTAGGACTTGAAAATAAAAATACTCATATAAACACATACCTGAAATAGGAAAACGGCATGAAGAATGTCCTTCCTGTTAACAAAACTGAAATCTTGCTTCCGGTTTCCATGGCAGCCTGACTGAAAAGAAAAATAAGTCATAGAAGTGACTTTTTATATCAGTGACTTGCTTCCCAAACAATAGGAGCAGGAGGAATCTGTGAAAAATAATGATCAGTGCCGTCTTACTTATGAAAACTGTTTTACAGCTTATCAGATTATTTAAATCAGAAAAAACATTATTTGGAAAAAAAGACACAAAATTAGAATTTATGTTTTCATTTTGAAAATGTCTATCTCCAGGGTCTTTATTTTTTTAAATATCTTTTTTATTTTCCAATGATAGTTGACATACAATATTACATTAGTTTCAGTATTACAACATAGTGATTAGGCGTTTATATAATTTACGGAATGATCACTCTGATAAATCTAGGACCCATCTGACACCATACATAATTATTACAAGATTATTGACTATATTCCCTGTGCTATACTTTATATCATCACAACGATTTTGTACTTATTGGTACTTCTTAATTTCTTCCTCTTTTTTACTCATCCTTTCAACCCCTTCCTATCTGGCAACCATCGAAAGATTCTCTGTATCTATGAGTCTGTTTCTGTTTTGTTTGTTTGTTGATTTTGTTTTTTAGATACCGCATATGGTATTTGTCTTTCTGTGTCTGACTTATTTCACTTAGCATAACACCCTCTAGGTCCATCCATGTTGTTGCAGTTGGAAAGATTTCATTCATTTTTTATGGCCAAGTAATATTCCATTGTATATATGTACTACCTCTTCATTATCCCTGCATCCATTGATGGACATCCAGTTGCCTCCATAGCTTGGCTATTGTCAATAATGCTGCAATGAACATATAAATGTACATGTCCCTTTTAAGTAATGTTTTGGGTTTCTTTGGATAAATATCCAGAAATAGAATTACTGGGTCCTTCCTGGTCTCTTGTTACAGTCATTGTTTTAAAGTCTATTTTATCTGATATAAGTACTGCTAACCCAGCTTTTTGTTTGTTTCCATTTTCAAGAAATATATTTTTCTATCCCTTTACTTTCAGTCTGTGTGTGTCTTTTGATCTAAAGTGAGTCTCGTGTAGACAGCACATTAAGGGTCTTATTTTCTTATTCATTTAGCTAATCTAACTTTTGACTGGAGCATTTAACCCATTTATATCTAAAGTAGCTATTGATAGATATGTGGTTATTGCCATTTTACTATTATATTTTTGATCTTTTTCTCTTCTTACAGTTTTTCTTAAAGAAGTCCCTCTAACATTTCTTGCAATACTGGTTTGGTGGTGATGAACTCCTTCAGCTTTTTCTTGTCTGGGCAGCTATTTATCTGTCTTTTGATTCTAAATGCTAGATTTGCTGGGTAGAGTAATCTTGGTTATAGGTCTTTTCTTTTCATCATTTCGAATATGTCATGCTAATCCCTTCTAGCCTGCAAAGTTTATGTTGAAAAATCAGATGACAGTTTTATGGGAACCCCCTGTAGGTAACTAATTGCTTTTTTCTTGCTGCTTTTTAAGGTTTTCTCTTGTATGTATTTACTTTTGACATTTTAATTATGATGTGTCTTGGTGGGGACCTCTTTGGGTTCATCTGGTTTGGGATTCTCTGTGCTTCCTGAGCTTGTACATCTATTTCTTTCACCATGATAAGGAAGTTTTCAGTCATTATTTCTTCAAGTAGGTTTTCAGTTCCTTGCTCTCTCTCATCTCATTCTGGTAACCCTATGATGTGAATGGTAACCCTATGGTATGTTTGATATTGTCCCAAAGGCCTCTTAAACTATCTATATATATTTTTTGTAGTCTTTTTTCTCGTTGCTTATCTAGCTGGGTGTTTTCTGCTACCTTATCTTCTAAATTGCTGATTCAGTCCTTTGCTTCATTTACTGTTGTTGCTACCTTATCTTCTAAATTGCTGATTCGGTCCTTTGCTTCATTTACTGTTGATTCCTCCTAAAGTATTCTTCATTTCAGTTATTGTATTCTTTATTTTTGACTGTTTTTTTTTAATGTTTTCTCTCTCCATTTATGTTTCCTATTTCTTTGTTGACATTCTCACTGAGAGCATTAAGCACTCTTATAAGCAGACTTTTAACTTTGCATCTGGTAGGTAATTCTCACTGAGAGCATTAAGCACTCTTATAAGCAGATTTTTAACTTCGCATCTGGTAGATAACTTGTTTCCATTTTATTCAGTTCTTTTCCTGGAGCTTTGTTCTGATCTTTCGATTGGGACATGTTTCTTTGTCTCCTCACTTTGGTTGTTTCTCTGTGTTTGTTTCTATGTCTGCTATGTCTCCCAATCTTAGTAGAGTGGCATTATATAGTATGTGTCCTGTGGGGCCCAGAGTCTCTCTGGGCACCTGAGCTGAGTGCTTTAGGCATGTCCCTTGTATGTGCTGGATTGTGTGTGCCCACCTGTTGTAGTTGAGTCTTCATTGCTGTTTGCATGTCAGTGGGAAGGACTGACCCTCAGGCTGATTGGTTATAAAGACTGGCCATGACTACAGTGGAGGAGCTGTTGTACAAGAGCTGACCCCATGCAGTAAGATTTGCTTTTGCAGGGCTCTGGTGCCTGCTGAGTCTGCTTTTTGAGTGCGTTGTTTAAGGAGGTGGTTGGTTGGTGCTCTGGTGCAGGCCAAGATCAGCTGTTGCCTGTGCCCTGCTCAAGGACACTTGGTATGAGCTACAATGTGATCTGCTTGCAGGCCAAGATCAGCTGTTGCCTGTGCCCTGCTCGAGGACACTTGATATGAGCTACAATGTGATCTGCTAGTGGTTGCCACTTGTGCTGGGCTTGGAGTTGCCTGGGAGAGATAAGCTGCTAACTGAGGCTGGCTGCCTCTAGTGCCAGGTTTGGGGCTGCTTAGTAAGAGGTACAGGGCACTATGAGGCCAGATACTGCTTGTTTGGGGTTTGTGAACCATTGAGAGATTTTAGGAAAGTCCACAGCATGAGCCAAGACAGGTCATTTATATGGAAAAGCCACTGGAAGCAGCTTGGGTGGGCCTGCAAGTTGAGTGGGGCATAGTCTCAGGGCAGCATTAAGGCAGGATGAACAGTGTTAGCTACATTGATGGAGACTCCGGTGTGGTGGGTGCAAGCCAGGTTGAGGGAGAGCTCAGCAAAGTTACAATGGCTTCTCCCAGCACTCTATGTAGGAGAAAGCTGCCCTTCTAGTCCTCTCCCTGAAGCTAGACAATTCAATTCCTCCCCAAATGTCCTTAGTGCCTTTTGAGCTGCTGTCCAGCACTGGAGCATAGAATTTTTGGGTCTGTCAGAGAGTAAGTTCATATTTGGGCTCTTTAAGAGGAAAACGTCTAAGACTTCAGCAACCCTTTGTCTTAGCCATAATCTCCACTGGTTTTCACAGCCAAAAGTTATGGGTACTTCTCTTCTCAGCACTGGAGCCCTGGATTGGGGAGCCTGATGTGGGGTTGGGACCCCTCCCTCCTCAGGGGGCACTTCTGCAGCTGAGATAGTCCTCCTGATTTTTAACCACCATACATGGGTGTAGGACCAGCTCAGTTGAGTCTCCACCCCTACTAGTCTTGAGGTGGCTTCTTCTGTATATCCTTAGTTATAGGACTTCTATTCAGCCAAACTTCAGGAAGTTCTCAATTATGGTCATTCTGTAATTTAGTTGTAATTTTGAGGTGGTCATGGGAGGAGGCAAGCAGAGCATCTACCTACTCCACCATCCTACCTACTCCACCTTTAAAAAGTAAAGCCAAGGGTCTTTACTTTTTAAAAACATATTTATTCAAAAGTCTGCTCTACAGCACATAAACAAATATCAATGTGTAAACATTCCCATAAACAATGTGAATGCTCTTCCTGCCACTGGTCTTAAAAGTGGTTAAAATGGTAAATTTTGTGTTATGTATATTTTATCACAATTTTAAAAAATATAAAAGCCAAAGGAAAAAAGCAAACTTAAAAAAAAAAATCTGCTGAACAGATCCTGTTTTTACTAGGTCTAACTTACTTTAGTAAATGTACTTAAGAAATTGCCTTAATATCCCTTTAGAAGAAGAAAACTCTTAAGCTTAAATGATAATGAAAAAGCAACAGAAATGAACTCCACAGCTGGCCTCATAAATGTCTTCTGAATGTTTACCCTGACCTCCTACAAGACAGAAAAATGGAAGGAAGAGGGAGGGAGTGAAGGAAGAGGGAGGGAAAATGGGAGGGAGGAAAATAGGGAAGGAATAAGACCATTAACTGACTTGGTTGTTTTATTTCCTAGAATGATTCAATACCTCAAGATGATTTCACTCCAGAAGTATACAGAGTTTTCCTGAACAACCTTTGCCCTCGACCTGAAATTGATAACATCTTTTCTGAATTGTAAGAAAACACATTTTAACCCACTTTTTTTGGCTTGCAGTAGTTTTTAGTCTGGCTAGGGCAGGATTTTGAGCAAGAGAGAGAGAGGAATAACCTCTTCATACACTATGTATAGCATTAGTGCTTCTCTGTAATTTTTGGAGACAATCATGCATCCCCATCCCTGAGGTGCAACCACTGCTTTGAATGAGTGGAATTTTGCTGTGATTGGTTGCTGGGTGTAGATGTTTTTGTATGCTCAGGGGAGTCTGTGTGGTTTGAAGATTATGGCTAGAACAGAGAAGCATCTTGGCTTAGTGGTGGTAGACTCATGTTGCATAAAGAACTCTGAACTGGCAACCAGCCATCTTACCTCTTTGAATTGCATTAAGGAAAAGAGAAATTAGGATTATTAAGAGCCCTCCCAGCTGCAAATTATTTGCTTTAATGTTAGAAATTAAATAAGTATTAAAAAAATAAGAAACAAACCAAAACATCAAGGCAAATGAGGGGAAGTAGCAATTTACCTTTTGATATTCTGAATCCTACATGATAACAGAAAATCAATCCAAAATTGATAAACAAAATAAGGATTTCTTCATATGGAAGACAGGCAAATGATACTGCTGAGAATGACATTGGATAAACTCACTTGGTGATGTTCATTGCCATGAACAATTTATCAAACATTGCAATATTTTTACCATTGAACTTGACTTGGGGCTGTCAACAAGATTAAAATGCGAAGTTTGAATCACACTATGTTGAAGAGTTATAGACTCTTGCCGGTGTAACTTTAATGAAAATAAAAATGTACCTAAACCGACTGTTTACATTTTTTTAGTGTTGAGTAATAAATACATCTTGAAATGATTACTGGAGATTTGGGAATTTGACGGCTAAAGCAGAAGTTTAGTGTCATAATCAAAAGACAACCCATACCTCTGTGTTCAATTCAGGCTGGTGCATCTATATACACAAGATGCAGTGCTTTCCTCCTGTGAATTTTCTCATGCATTTGGTACTGTTCAAGGCCATTGGGATTTAGTGGTAGTGATTACAAAAGATATTTGTAGCCCTTAGAGATGTGACAGTTGTGGTGAAGCAACACAGTGTTTTTAGGGCATGATAGGAATTTCAATATAGCATGCTTTTACCAGGTATGGCAGGATTATGTTTAATAAACAAATAAATGAATGAGACTTGGAAGGAAAATATTCTAATTTCTTGGTTTTTTAATTGTTTTTAGTGGTGCCAAAAGCAAACCATATCTTACCGTTGATCAGATGATGGATTTTATCAACCTTAAGCAACGAGATCCCAGGCTAAATGAAATACTCTATCCACCTTTAAAGCAAGAGCAAGTTCAAGTATTGATTGAGAAGTATGAACCAAACAGTAGCCTCGCCAAAAAAGGTCAGTTCACTTTGTCCCACACCATAGGGAAGCTCTGGTTTTTAATTGTGAATGAGTCACCCACTGGTAGTTACTGGCATCAAGGATTATTTAGGTTAGTCTCCCACTTTTGTATGCTTGCTTTCCTTTCTGTTTTAAATCACTGGCAGATCAATCTGAAGTAGATTTTTTTTTTTTTACTTTAGCATGTGATTTTTGTTGTTGTTATGTATGTGTATGCATGTAACACATATTTTTTTTGATGTCTAATCATTTGTTTTAAATTTATTCAGTAACCAAATGTGTCTTTCTCAGACAAGAAATTCACTATCTTACAAGTTGCCCTTTGGGGTCTGTTTTTAGAAGTTCTGAGAAGTAACCCACAGATTTTTCTAAATCTCTAAAACCAAAGAGAATATTCAGTCTATTGGTCCCGTATATTATTCTAGTTTATACTATTGACAAATTTTTCTACTGAGGGAAATATATAAAAATTTTACTTTCTGTGTAAAAAACTAATGATTCTAAAAATTGATATTAGAAAGACAGCTCTAAGTTGTCTGGAAGTTATTAAGAAATTTATGTTTTTGATTTGGGAGAAATCATGATGATTTAATTGCCAGAAGTCTTAAATTATATGTCACATCATTGTCCCTGAAAAGAATTTTCAGCCTTTTTTTACCACTAAGACCAAGTCTCATTTGGACTAAAATCTTTACTGAGAATATTGGTGTGTTAGCACCGAGGTTATTGTAAATTTCTTACATATTCCATAGGGAGGAAAATAAAGTACAATTAACCAATTATTAAGAAGAAATAAATTGCATGTTAGTATGCAGGCAATTTATAAGTATAAGAAATAGCTCTAGCAAGCTGATAATCATTAATAAGAATGGTTTTCATAAAAATAGATTAAAAGATCTTTTACCCATTGTATTTGTTCTGGAACTGGTCCTCTAAATGAAAAATGAAAGTATTAAGTATAAATGTAAAATCTTATAATTACTTTTATCCTACATGTTATTAGTTGGGAATTTTTAGGTGAAATTTTTTAGTTTGTGTTTATTTTCTTGGTCAAGCTCTTTGCCTTCATTGTTGTCATAATTCTTATTGTTCTGAGGTCAGTCAAAGGAAAAGAGTGACCCAGCAGTATATGTTAGCATTACCAGGTCTGTCCCTCTGATCTTAGCTATGATGCCCTTTCTGTAGGTGTCATAAAGACTGAATTTCTCTTTGTCATTAAGCAGGGAACAACTACTTGGAGATGTCACCTGAAAGCTTGACAATTCTTTTCTGAAATCCATACTTCACCCCAAATAACTACCAGTGTTATAACAAATCCAACAAGACTTCTAAAAACAGTTAGCCCTTGACACTAGGAAAACAAAAACTTTTATGAAACCAGTGAGACACTTCAAAACCTAAACTTTGCCTTTTTCTCCTCCCTTCATATCACACTGCTCATGGCCCATGCTTCAGCTGGCATATGATGCCCCCATACGTCATACTCTGATGACTTGGACAAAGTAGAAGATACAAAGGGGAAAAATTACAATAGGTTATTGTAAAACTCTACAATTCTGGAAAAACCAATTTTGATCTAATGAAAATTAAGACTATGTCTCTTAGCATTTGCAAGCATGTTTAGTGCCATCTTAAAGATGTACCAGTTATGAATTCTATAATTACAACAGGCACACAAAATTCAGGTATATTTAAAATAACAACTTTATTTTTTTAGAACTTAATATGATTGATCATGAAGCCTCCATGTCAACGGTGATGTGATTTTTTAAATTACAGAATTCATTTCTCACCCCCAAAACTGCAGTAAGAAAACGAACTTGAGAGGTTTCACACCAAGTCATTATATTTGCTGTTTTGGCTCTGTTTATGGGAACAAAGATTAGAGAAGATTGTTTTATTGTACTGATTGTTATTTCATAGCGAAAGGAATAATGATTTTGAAATCTTTATTAGTAGGAATAAGAAATTGTTGGATTAGACCTCAATTATTTAGTAACTAAGAGTTTAAAATAGTTTTTCCAAAAATAAGGATTGATTTTTTTTTATTTGATTTTGCAGTTCGACTTTAAGATTTTTTCAGGAACTCCTTTTGTGTCTTCTTAAATACAACAAAATACAATTTAAGAAAGTATTATTTGACTTCATTGTGATGACTGATGAGCAAGGAAACTTTCAAAATATACATTATCATTTTGCAAAGAAGCAAACCAAGGCCTTGAGGTCAAAAGACTTATCTAAGATCTCTTTAAGAAAGATGTTCTTTAAGAAAGCAGAGTTTTTAACTGTCAATCAATTAAGTAATATATTTTGATCAATCAACATATAAGAAAACAAGTTGGGAAGTTAAATATTACATTACAATTTATTTCTTCTGATGCTTTAATTTTGACTAGTTCTTTAAATGTGCCCAAGCATTAGTTAAATTGAACCACAAACTCTATTTTATTTATTTAAGAAAGACATTTTCATATTGTCTATATACTTGGTAAAATGCTAGGAATAAGATACATACATTATATATACTAACATGCATAATTAATAAATACGCATATTCTCTCTGATATGAAGAAACATATTTTAAACAAATAAATTATACACAAAGTTGACATATGCTAATATTTTGTTTTTATATGTACTTTATATATTTTATATAAAAGATAGCTTAAAATTAAATGAAAAAATTTCAATGTGGCCAAAGCCTAAATGCTAAAGATGACCATAAGTTAGCTGACTAAAAGTGCAGTACATGGAAGTGTGAAATGAATACAGAAGAAATGATTGATTTTGATGCTCTGTGGGCCTGTTGTCATTAGAACGTTGGCCATATTTCCATGCTGTAATTTCTGTTTCTGGAGAGTTACATATTGGTTATAAATAACAGATTTCTGTGTATTCTCTGACACAGAGGGGGACAAATATTCATGTATTTGTGTTCCACAAAAAAAAGTGTTTGAATTTTGTTACAGAAGATACTATTATCAATGGAGTTTGGTGTATTTTTACAATTTAAAATGACATATTGGAAAATGCTGTGGCCCCAGGTCAGTGAATGTGTCTTCTTTGCCATGTTGTTTGCTCTGTAGACCTAAATATGCTTAACACAGGAGTACGCAATGACTCCTGATTCTTTCCGACAAAAAGGTTATGAATACCTGAGTTTGAAGATTAATGTCTCCTGAGTAGTTATTTTTTATCACTTAAACTCTTTAGAAGAAAAGCAGTGAATAAAATTATCATGAAAAATAAAAGTTATATTGATGCTTTTGGTAATAAAATGCAGACTTCTAGATTCAAGTGATATGCCTGTAAATAAAGGCCAAATTTTGCTCAAATAAACTGCCAAACCAAAGGAAAACACTTCAGTTTGTTCATATTTTTATTTTCCTGTGAAGAGCAGGTGTTCATGAGTATTGTTAAACAACTGAATTAATGTAATAGATTATAATATTAGCAGATGTATCAAGCTACATTATTTTAATATTAATTCTTCCTCTTAAATTTTTCTAATGCATACTATGCAAAAGCTTCCCCACTTGTTGCAATTAAATCATAAAAATGAAACTGTATAATCTCTTTTAGATCAGTACTCACTGAGTTAATAGTATAATAGTTGAACTCAATATTAATAATAGCAAGGCAATTTGGTTTTCAGCAAAGCAAATAAAAGTTTGGATGTAGCAAGCATTCTCACTTCAAATAGACCTAAGCTAATGATGATTGCATCAGTAGAAATCACCTTACAATATTTTCAATATTGTTTCATTTTTAAATACTGATACAATTGAACTATATTGTATTATTATTGTTAGCGGCAAGAAGTACCCAGAGTGTGTTAGAGAGAGTACTAGACTAAAGAAGCTTGCAACATGTATTAGGCAGGAATCCTTCAGTTGAAAAAAGACAGAAGCTTAACTCAAACTGAAGCACAGAAAGGAATTTACCATTGGCATATAATAAAGGTGTTAATAACTTCAGTCATAACCACATTCAAGGGCTCAAAGAATGTCATCAAGAATTGTCTTTCTTCATCTTCCATCATTTTCCTGGTTCTGGCTGTAATTCTTGAGCAACCTCTCCTGAAGTGACGAGAAAGCCACCAGCAAGCAACTTTGGGTCTACTAATCTCAATGTGCAGAAATTCTTTTTACTCATATTTCAACCAAAAGTCCCAGAAACCAGAGCATGGCTTAAGTCACCCCACACCCCCCCTGAACTAGGATCACTGTAGACTGAAGGATGGAATGTAATAATTGAAGAGACTTAGGTCACATGACTCTCCCTAGAGACAGTGAGAAGAAGTCAATTGCCTAAACCACAAGGACCAATAGTGGGAGAGAGGTGGTTCCCTGAAATTCAAATGGGGCGTGCTTCTTAGAAGAAGGAAGAATGGTCATGGGACATGTAAAGACAGCAGATCCCATTAAAACTGGGTCAGAAGTCAACAATTTATCATTACTGTTTATCTTACCTTAAGAAGCCATTTAACTTCTTTAACCAGTCTCATACCCTATTTTTCTCATCTTTAAAAAAATTCTCTGAGAGAATTACATAAGTTGATCAGATAAGAAGATTGCATAGATTAATTGTTGCCCACTAAGTCTTTGTTCACCTGAACTGATGAAAAGTGACAATTGGCATTTACACCAGATAATTTCAAACCATTAATGGATCTGGAAGTGAGTTTCAGAACATTGGTCAGAGGCATTCCCGAACATTGCTACCTCTCAGCTAATGGCCTATTTCACTTACTAAAATTAAGACTATGTTAGAATCATTTGATGACAAAACCTGAAAAAATATGGCATGTTGTATCTGTGCACCAATGTTTATTTCTGGCTCAGACATTCTTTTATATATTTTTTATTAAAATGGAATTATATATTAAGATATAAATATTTACACTGGAATCTTACTGTTTATTTCATCACTTAATTTTCTAGCAGATTTTTAAAAATCATTATTTTTCCAACACCACTTGTCTTTACTAGGTAGGA